TGCTCTAGAAAGAGCTAAAAAGCTCCAATCGAAATTTTGCGACGATCAAAATTTATTAAAATTTGACAAGGAATTTGAAAAAAATTATTTTCGTTAAAAAATGGGGTTTTTCGGCTCTATGCGTCAGAGTTCCGTCTGAAAAAATCTGAAAAAATTCAAGGCAATGTATTTTGATGCCGAAAATAAGTGAAAAAAAAAAGATCGGGCTGTGTATTGCATCATAGCGCCGTACATAAATTTTCAAAATTTTCAATGATTTTTTCTGAAGGCCTGAAGCACTCAAAAAATCTGAAAAAATTCAAGGTTGTTTAGTTTATTAAAAAGCATTTTTGTGAATTTTTTCAGATTTTTTAATTGCTTCAGGCCTTCAGAAAAAATATAGATCGAAAATGGACGTTTATACCGGAAGTGGGTGGTAGGAGAGGGAAGGGGGTCTAAAATTGTGGTTTTGGGACCTTTTTACCATGTACTATAACATACCAGAAGCGCGTCAAGATCGGTGACATACGAGCGCAGGTTTATTTAAAAAATTCTGAGCCTTACCCATATATTTCATATATCGGAAAGGCGAAGAACTCCCGATATAACAGCTTGAAGCAATTAAAAAATCTAAAAAAATTCACAAAAATACTTTTCAACAATTCAAACAACGTTGGATTTTTTCATTTTTTTTGAGTGCTTCAGGCCTTCAGAAAAAATCATTGAAAATTTTGAAAATTCATATAAGGCGTTAGCCTGACGCTGAGTCAAACAAATAAAAAATTCCGGAACAAGTAAACAGACAATGACAAAAAAACTTATGCAAGATTAAGTTGTAACCCATTAGGACGACTTGAATTAATATTTAATAATTATCATTTATTCAGTTGAGGCTAAGGACTTAAGTCTAACGTAGCCCAATAGGCAACAATACAGTCTCCCGGTCAGCAACGTGGGAAAAGGGCACAAACATCACATACATTAATAATTACAAACATGAAAGAAAGAGAAACAAGAAAGAGTAAAAAAAAGAAACAAAGAGAACATAAATATATAGACAACAAGTATACACTGATAGGCTAGCTGCCAGTCTGGAGATCTAGCAAGTACCTACGAAGGCCGGCACCAAAACCAGGCCGCTGAAACCCTTCACGGAGTCCCAACGGCAGCGAGTTCCAGAGCCGGGCCCCTCCAATGGCGAAGGACATCTGCCCACGGGTCGTCGCCGCGCCAGATACAGACAAGCAGAGACCATCCACGCGCCAGATACTCCGACTCCGGGACCTCAAGACAGCGGCGATAAGGGAGACGCATGTGTACTTGATCCTGGATCGATATTTGAGGATGTTATTGCTGATATAGTCAGGTGTTATATGCTCCCATCTCTTTCGTCCAGTAAAAAAGCGCACTGCAGCATTCATGCATCTGGACATCCTGTCAATCTGCTCTTCAGACATGTCCACAAATAATGCCGAGCAGTAATCAAAGTGAGGAAAGACCAGGGCCTTCGCGAGCATCTTTCTGATGTCCGGTGCAAGGAAATCCCCGCACCACCTCAAGCGCGACAACGCTGCAAAGGCTCTATATACCAGTGGCCGCCACCACGTGCCATCGTCACGTCAGCGCACTATCGAGCGTCACGCCAAGTAGCCTCAGTCTGTCTACCACCTGTATCAGCTCGTCCTCAATGCTGGGGGGCGAGATGTCAGCGTTGGCTAGCTTGTTGGTAAAATATCGACTACCAAGCCAGATGGCCTGCGTCTTGCCAGAGTTAATAGCAAGATGAGAGGCACGGGCCCAAGCCGCAAAGCGCCTCATGCCCTCTGAGACCATCCGCACAAGCTCCCGTGCTCTCGCAAAGGGTCCATGCAGATAGATGGTAGTGTCATCGGCGTACACATGGTGTCGACAGTGCACGAGGGACCGCGGAGCGCCATTGGCATACATGGCGTACAAGAGAGGCCCAAGGACACTCCCTTGCGGCACCCCAGAAGTCCTCCCCAGGGACGCAAAGACGGTTCCATCATCCCCGACAACACACTGCGTGCGTCCATTCAGGTAGGAGCGGGTCCAGTCGCATGCCATGTTCGACCATCCAAGGGCTCCAAGTCTGTCGATCAACACATCGAAGTCGACCATATCAAAGGCCTTCGACAGATCGACTGCAACGAGAAGCGTCACGTGGCCCACATCCACGGCAGCCCGGAAATCGTCCAACACACGAAGAAGCGCCGTCTGGGTGCTGTGTCCTCTTCTGAATCCGGACTGGTACACATCCATGAGCTTGTGCCTGTCCACGTACTTCCTTATCTGCAAATACACAATGCGCTCAAACACCTTCGACGCCGCGCAGAGCAGACTTATCGGCCTGAAATCTGCGGCGACGCGGGGAAGTCCAATCTTGGGGACAGGACTGACGAGGGCCGACTTGCAGGCGGTCGGGAAGACCCTCGTCTGTAGAGAGCAGTTAAATATGTGCAGCAAAACTGGAAGGACGACAATCAGGCAGTCACGGAGGTAGCTCACAAGGATTCCGTCGGTTCCACGGGCGTCTCTTCGGGTCCGCGCAATAGCATCCACCACCTCAGCCTGCTCAACGTATCTGAAGTTGAACCTCTCGTGACGTCACGAGCGTCTCGGCACGTCACGACTCACAGGCCGCACACCATCCATAGCACGAGCGTCAGGCGAGCCCACAAAGAACTCATTCAGCTCATCGACGCCGACCGGGAGTCCAGCAGCCAATAGCGGCCCAGAGCCAAGTCCAAGACGTCGGAATGTTCGCCACCTCTCGGCGACACTTGCACATCCCTCTATCTCGGCACGATAATAGGTGCGCATGGCATCCCACACAGCCGCCTTGAAGCGATTAAGGAGGGCCTTGTACCGCTGACGCTCCTGCAGTCCCCCAGATCTTCGGAAGCTCCTCCAGGCCTTATCACGCGACGCCTTCAGGCGACGCAGCTCAGGCGTGAACCATGGTCTAGCGCGTTTACGCGGCCTGAATGTCCTGTAAAGCGCGTGCCTATCGTACAGCGCATTTATCGTGCTAGTGAAGTATTCCACCTTGTCATCAACAGACTGAAGCCGCAGCAGCTGGTCCCAATCACAAGCGGCCAAGTCCTGGTAGAAGCGGGCCCCGTCAAAGTTCCTGAAGCAGCGATGCGCAAGAACGGTGCGTTGGCCATCACCAACCTCAAACTGCAACCGCACCCTCAGAAAGTCATGCTCCGAGAGGCCAACAGTTGCGAACTGGTCGAAATCTATCATTTTCAACACGTCGCTAACACATATGTAGTCTATGCTGGTGTGTGAGTCTCCACGATGGAAAGTTGGCAGAAAATCGAGTCTCGTGCGTCCACACGTTACCAAGGACTCCTGCAGGTCACGACAATGTCTATCAAGGCTTGTCCAGTTGATGTTCAGATCACCATTTAGTCAAACCTCAGTCTGCAGTGCAACACGGCATCCTCAACGTCCGACCAGAATCCAGCCTCTGGCGCATACACGACGACGCACAATATCTTTGAGTCACCAACCAAAGCCAATCTGCCAGCAAGAACTTCGGTCTCCCGGTATAGTTTTTATCGGAGGCATAGATCAGTCTGCATCCTATAGACCTGTGCACATATAACGCGACACCGCCTGAGCGCCTTCCGACCCTGTCTTTTCTAAGAAGGTTGTAGCCGTCTATGAATACAGAGCACGAGGGCCTCCAAGGCTTGAGCCACGACTCACTCACCGCCAGCACATGCAAGCGATGTCGGGTGACAAGATCGCGCACATCCTCCATATGCGGGTAAAGAGACTGCGCATTGATGTGACCCATACAGAGCAACGCAGACGATAGATCGCAGTTAAAGTTCGCCATGGTCGATCTGCGAGATCCTATGCTCAATTTTTTTTCTGAGTATTGGGCATTTTGACTTGTCTGTGGCAGCATGTTCAACATTAGTGGAGCCAGCCTTTTCGCAATTAATGCAGTGCAGCTTAGATGACTCAGTGCACTCGCTGGACAGATGAGCGCCTGCACATTTACCACACGTTGGAGTAGTTTCTTCGCAATTATCTTTAGTGTGATTAAATCCGTTGCATTTAAAACATTGTATGACATTAATGTGGTCATCAATGCGACAGGACATCCAGCCAATGTTTACTCGTTTTCGACTCATGAGGATAGCTCTGAGCTGAGGCTTGAGTTCTATTATGCAGGATCGGTGTTTTTTCCTACCAGCCGGGTACAGGTAGACCATTTTCAAATCTGCAGCCGTTGCCGCAGGTAGATTTTGGGCAGCGATTGATTCGCAGATGCTATCGCTCGTATAGTCGACAGGTATGTCGTGGACGACGACACGTGGCATAAGCTTTGCATCGCGCTTGATCTCAAGTCCAGCATCAGAAAGACCCGTGCATCCAGAGAATTTTTCAGCGCTGAGGCAGTCCCCCTCGATGATCACCGAATTCAACGGACCGGAACGAAGACGACTAACACCAATTTTAAGTCTCGACGGATCAATACACTTTACCAAGGCGTCCTTGGTTACACTTGACACATTAAAGAATTTTCCTGTGGTGAGCCACACGCGCTCGGCTGCATTACGTTTATCGCGATGATCAGCAACAGCACCAGCGTAAGTTAAGGCACGCCGAACGCCGAGCCCAGAGGCTGCAGAGTTCAATACAGCGCAGGCAGAGTTCAAGGCAGTGCAGGTATGCTCGAGTTTAGCTTTCGCATCCTCTATGACCTTTTTGGAAGCACTGGCCACTTCATCAGCTGTAATGCGACACAGGTCATGATGTCAGCGTAGGCGCTAAGCGCTTCCCTGAGCTTCTTCTTGCAATTCGCATCTTTTTCGTTCGATAAGAGGTGCAATAGGTCAGCTCTATGCTTCTCGACCTCCGAGAGCATGCCATTCACGTCATCCTTTGAGAGTAGAGGAGACCCAGGAGGCACAGAGTCTGAGGTTCCTTTCTTTAGGCGCTTATTAATCTGGCGTCCAAGGCCAGACGAAGCGTCTGACATGTCTTACGTTGAGACAACTTCGAGCGCTCAAAAGACAGTTGAATTTATAGAAAGTAAACAAGCCAGCAAGCTCCTGATGTACAGAGCTCTAACGTTTAATAACACTGGCAATATACGACTTGTGTGCTGATCGATTGAATTTTTATCAATTTTTGACACTCTCGGAGCTGCGATGTGCACACCGTCGCGGCCACAGGCAGCTATCACTGATAGCGATCACTTTATATAGTTATTCGGCACTAAAATATAACACACCAGTCGCTAGATGAGAACGTAGCAGGAATCGAGACAGACGCGTGTTCACAAGTTGACGTGTTTTCTATATAGAATTAGAGACCAGCGAAATTTTAAAACAGTTAAATAATGAGCTATATACTGAATTAAACATCTTTCAGACTTCTTTGAGTGACACAGTATTAGCGAGAGCTTATGGACTACCTAAGATACAAAAGCCCGGTGATCCGTTACGTCCGATTATCTCATCAGTTAGGAGCCTGACTTATGTTTTAGCGAAGCTTTTATGCAATGAAATTGCAACAGGCATAAACGACCAAAGTCACATGTTAACAATAGCTCTGAACTTAAAAAGAAATTAGAGTTGATACAAGTGCCGCCAGATTTTATTTTAATGTCTCTTGATGTGACCTCGCTTTTTACCAACATACCTCTACGTCTAGTTTTGGACAGCCTTGACAAGAGATACAATGATTTGACACGTTCAAGGTTATCATTCGACAGTTTGCGCCGGACAATGCAATTTCTGTTTGCTAATACTTACTTTTCTTTTAATGATGTTTATTATAGACAAATAGATGGTACATCTATGGGTAGTCCAATCTCGCCGTTGGTGAGTGACATCGTGATAGGAGACCTCGAAGAGACTTGTCTCGAAGAATTATCGAAGGAAGGCTGCAATCCGATGTTCTTTTTCAGATATGTGGATGACTTTGTTTTGTGTATCCATCGTAATCACGTAGATTGGGTAGTTAAACAATTTACCTCTTATGACCCTAGTTTACAGTTGACGTTTGAATTGGAGGAGAATAGACGCATAAACTTTCCACATTTGACGCTGATAGTAAGAGAATATTTTATCATCACAGACTGGTATCAGAAACCCATCAACATTTTAACGCAAGATACACTACCCAACAAAAGATCGCTGTGATATACAATCTCATTGACCGTGCTATCCTCTTGTCGGATTTTAGTTTTCATAAACAGAACTTCGAAAAAATAAAACATCTTCTTTTATTAAATGACTATCTGATGAATTTTATACAAAGATATATCTTCAAGAGACCGTGGAAGATTAAAACCAACAACGAGAACAAAAAGAGTCCCCCCAAGGTAGATGAGACGGTGAGAATACGGGCAGCTGTACTGAAACTACCATATGTTGACGGTTTTTTGAGAAATGTAGAACTTCCTTGAAGGGGTACAATCTAAATGTAGCTCCTTCCCTGGACTTTACGATGCCGTCCATTATAAAACTGGGAAAAGATTCCATCAATAAAATGGAGAGGACAGGCGTAGTGTATCTTTTAGAATGTAACATGTAATGCCGAATCGGTATTATCGTATAAGAGGTCGCTCGACGAATCATTGTCGGTCAAGGCCAATAATAACGATTTAATATTACGACAGACTGCGTGATTTTCCCTTTTATGTTGTATGTCTACAAGACAGGACGATCGAATACACGGGCGAAGCCGAAGCAGCGCGTGAAGAGAAGACGACGGTTAGTTACCGTTGAACTGGTAAAAGGCTCAGGCCGCCTAAGATTTACTCTAAAAGAGAACGGAGCTTGTTTCTCGCTAGTCGCGAACTACGTGTGTTGATACGTTGTCGAGGGTACCCGAGTGTAAGTGCTAGCATGAGGTAGTCCAGGAGACTACCTACGTCGAGCAGCAGGTGTGTGTGTGATCGCGAGTGTGAGCTCTAAGCCTTCGGTCGAGGGGTGCGTGTAGTGTATGCTCGAGGTCGTGCTGGTGTGTGTGTGAGCGTGCGAACGAGTCGACCAAATCACCGCTGCAGAGGGGACCGGCACCGTACTCAACGAGCCACAACGACTGGTTTGTTTCAGGGACCATCCGAGGAAGCGAGGACCTGGACCCAGCAGCAACAGCCCAAGCGAGCCACCAAACAATCCCCGGAGGATGAGTTCTCGGCGGTGAGCTACACGGCGGGGCCATCGTATCATTATTGCATATTGTCGGTGTCTGATACGCTCCTTACGAGCTACGTTGTCGCGTCGGCCGTCGACGGTCTGGTCTCACTCTCTCCGAGACCTATTGTAGTTCTTAAAGATATCAATAAATTGTTTATTAATTGTTTGAATAGAAAATAATGAGAGCCGTTATTCATGAATGAATGTGCGTGTGGTTATCTCCCTTTCCGATTGCATGCCCTTTTCTAGGTAGACCCTGGACGTACAAGGAACGAACCTGCAGCCAAAAGGACAGACGTAACCGACGAGGTACGTCAGGGTAAGCGAGTGAGTTTCTAGGTTACAAACAAATGTCCGGCAAAGTATGTACGTCAAACTAAGCGTCAGTTAAAAATAAGGGTTCAAGAGCACAAGAACACAGAGAAATGCAAATCAGTATTTGCAGTATATATGGAAGAACATGAAAAGGATGACCACCAAATGCATTGGGAGAATGTTAAAATATTAGACTACGAAAATAATCTACATAGAAGAAAAGTAGCGGAAATGGTATACACCAACACCAACAAGAACACGATAAATAAACAAGAAGATACTGAATTATTAAATGATATTTACTTTAACATCTTGAATATGTTGTAGAATTGATTGTTATGTGAGTATAGTAACTAAACTTGACCATCGGTGTATTTAGTCCTGATGAGGCTGCGTACCAAAGTAGCTAAACGTTGATATGTATTATTATACTTATTTATTTGTTTCTTTTCAATAAATTTTAACTTCTGTGACGATCTGAGTGACAAGTGAAGAATTGTGTGAATCATTTACTTGTTCCGAAATTTTTTATTTGTTTGACTCAGCGTGATAGGAGAGGGTACACTGTACCCAGTACAGCCTCACACTGTCGTAACAATTTTATATAATAATTGACGAAGGCATAAGTAAAATTTATTATGATATCAAAATTTAGATTGAAGATCGTGAGCGCGACTCGACGCTAAGCGTGCAGTCTTATAAATAAACAAATACTCGATACGAGTTGTTCAACCATTTTATAAATTAACATTGTATTATACTCATTCATGTTTAACAATTTAATAAAAACTATATATTTACTGTGTAACAGTTTACCCTCGGGAGGCAAGTAAATTGTCCGGCGAGATGTCCGTTGTCCTGTAAACGGGGAACGAAAAAAAGGTGTGCCAAAAATAATCTACGCGATCATGTAATGTATAAATAATAATTAGGCTTATTTATTAAAAAGGGCGACAGTCACGATAGTGACGCCTAATGATACAAAATACAAGAAAGCTAAGAATTACAAATGATATGCGATAATTGTTCGCTCGGCACGAAACATTCACCCGTACAATTATAACGGCATAAGGCCACCACGGCTATTTCGGTAGATACGACGGTCGTGACTTTGGGCTAGGCGGGGACGAGACCGAGAATCGAGCGTGTTAAGAATACAATAATATGGCGCATATGCAGGAGAGAATCGAGAGACTTACATGCGTTGACTCCATGGTTTATTGGTGGTTGATTGGGCCTGAAGAAGACTGCAAAGATAGCGAGGGCAGACGAGAAGGCAGCCAGATGTTGATGCTCTCCAGGACGGCAGACTCACTCTCACACACGCTGGCCATCGCAGGTCCCACACGAGAGGGGTCGGTAGCTCGAAGCTATTTCACGCGAGGTCCAACACAGAGTGTTCGCTTCATCAACTCCTCGTCGGCTCGTCAGTCAGCATAGGCCTCCCTTTCCACTTGACAGGTTTTCGTCTGCTCATAAGGCAGCACGCGCAAGACCCGTCTACGCACGTAGCGTTGATCACGGCTCTCTCTTTCTCTCTCTGCAAATTTGGCGCTTATCGATAAATTGGTGCCGATCCGCATTACCATTAGGCTCGTTTATTTCCGATCTTTCTCTCTCGGGCGGAAGGAATTCTAGGATATAATATAAAGGAAGGAGAACCGTCGGACCCTGTGCTGGACTACTTCTTTACAACTGAATAAAAATTCTTGTCAAGATCATTTGATTTAATCCCTTCCATCACAGCAAATTTAGAGAAAATAAAAAGTTTTATTGTTTTTGACCTTTCACTACAAATAACATGGGTCTCTTGCTACTTGCAAGAGTAAGGGTAAGTGATTTTTTAGGCACAAACAAGCTTTTATATACCTGAAGGCTTCTTCCGAAATCTTACAGTTTCCACAAATCCGCAGTTTCCACTCACAAAAAGAGACTCCCAAGTCGAGCTTTTGACTGTCAATTAGAGGCACAGGGAGTGCGGCAGCACTTTTTGAGTTCGTAACTCCCTATTGAAAATAATGACGTCATATCAGATGTCAAAAGTGACATCATTTTCGATGTCAGAAATGATGTAAATCTTGATGTGTAAAATCGAGACATTTCTGATATCAAAAATGATGTCAATAATGATGTCAATAATGATGTCAATAATGATGTCAATAATTATGTCAATAATTATGTCAATAATGATGTCAATACTGATGTCCATAATGATGTCAATACTGATGTCAAAAATTCAGTTTATAATATTGCATCGGTGACCACACTATATCATCTGAAGCGATACTGCGAACTTTAAATGAAACGGTAGAAATGAAAATGTGTTCAACCTCAACATATGCTGAAACGTGTTTTAATTGACAACGCCCGGAAAAGCGTAATATTAGAAAAAAACATACCATTTTACGTCAGAATTGATTTCGAATCATATTATTTACATTGCTTTTGTGCACTAGGTGAGCGTTTATTCCGAATAATCCAACAGAGTGGTAGAACATAGGAAATTCCGGTATTCCATCTGACAGAATTACCACTCACTTTTTGGTACCAAAACTCCACATTTTTACAACATTTTTAAAAATAATCATTCATTAAAATATATTAATACTTAAAAAATTTAAATTATTTTTATGCAACTAAATAGATGAAATTAATTGAGGTGTATATAATTCATAATATTTATTTTGATGATTGAAATTATCATTTAATACGAATACAAATTCGGTAATGGACATATATATTTATGATTGTTCAGATCTATGTATATACAAATTGACTTAATAGAATCGGTATCTATCACATACATATCATAATTTATACTATCAACTCGTTTTATTTGAAAGTTGTCAAGATTAACATTTTCATTGTAAATATTTGTTACATTGACTTTGTTACAAATGGTATATTCTATTTCATTATCAAAGTCAACTATAAAATATACTATTCTAACAAATTCATTATTAATAGTATACGCAAATGAATTATTCGATCGTAGTCTTACTTTTTTAGAGGACAGAAATAAACAATCACTTCTGATCATTTTATGATATACTGACGCTGTTGGAGATAAATCAAGTTCTCTGTTCCATCTATTGATCGGAACTCTGGCCTTACCAAAATATCTCCCTTTAGTTGTTTTTACGGTTTTTTCTGTCTCTCGTAACTCTAAATATTTTACATAATCAAGAGCTATGGAATCAGGACTATTTAGTTTTATATTTTCCTCTAAAATTAAAGCGCTTTTGTCCATTCCAATAAGTCGACATAATTGATAAACAACTCCTTTAGCAGCTTTAACGCGTTCGACTATAAGCCCATTACCGCTTTCAAACCCGTATCCACAATGTGCCCACAACGGACCCCAATTGACAACACTTTTGGTTAAGTGAATTAACTGATGAATATTAAACGTCATTGCACTTCTACCATAATAATATTCCGTCAGCACAACAAACTTTTTAAGAAGAAGATCTGCCTCAAGCAGCTGTTCTCGAGAAATAGATTTTTGTAATAAAATGTAATATGCTCTTACTAAGTATGACCAATGCTCGGCATAATTTTTCATTTTAGGAATTTGTAACAGTGCAACAGTACTATAATAAAGAACCCAATTTTGGTGCTCTCGTGACTTCCAATGTTTACGATCTTTTATTGATCGCGAATAACGAGTTAATTTACCCGGAACTTTGATTGATTTCAATAAATCATCAATTACTTTAATTTCTTCTTTAGTTAAAGAGTAAGGCATATATTTACAGTCGAACCAATATTTTATAAACTGCTTTGAAATTCCCAAATCAATACAGTGCATCGAGTCAGGCACAAATCCAGAGATGATATCAAAAGACTGTAAGTCTATCAGAATAGATCTATTGAGTACACCGAAAACTGACCGATTTGATCGTTCTAACTCTTCAATATGTTCTAATGTATTTTCGGAAGTTCTATTAGGAACTATATCATCAAGAAGAATATACTTGATACACCCTTTTCTCCCTGACAGTACATAATACCCAGGATGGAGGCACCAATTGCACCCAAAATAACCATTGTATTGGGTTATTCCTTGTAATGGAGCTCGGGCGACTGAATCGTCACAAGAACATAACGTATAAACATATAACCTGACAGGTTCATTGTTAATAGGAAATGTTATACCCTCAAATTCGAGAATATTCATTTTTTGTACAAAATACTCGAAAAAAACGTTCATATTTGGTTTATCTTTCCCAAACCACAGACCACATACTATAGGTTTAGATCTACATTTATAAGGTAACTCATTGATGACCAACTGAATGGGCCAGATGGAAAAAGAAGAACTTTTAAAGACAGGTGACCCGTCCGTATTAAACATTGCAGTTATAAAGTTATTTTTTTTATGATCAGGCAAGGAATTTCTTAGTTTTTTATATAGCAAACCATCATAAAAATCCGTTATTTTATCATCATTGTTTGCTCTTCTTTCTACAACAGATTCATAGAAAGACCAATTTTGTTTCATGTGGTGAATTATTTCCAGTTCTGGTCCGATAGACACAAAAAAATCATTGTAGGTTGGATCTTTTACGGAAAATTGTAAGTCACAAGGTACACAACGTAAAAGTGATTCTTGTTTACGATTATACAATTTAACGTAGTTCTTACAATTAGGGCACAGAGCATGGTAGTCTATATTACTATCGATATTAAAAATTTTATCGACTAAATAACGTGTCTCTGGTAAAATTGGGACGGAAAAAAATGAATTGAGCATTTTGAATAAATCGGCTATTGCAGATTGTGGTAGATTGTAAATTAGAGAATATTTTATCACCGAAAGAAAAATTTCTGGCCTAGACACATTAATCGCTGCATCGATGGCATCGTGGATATTGTCATCGTCCAACATTTGTTGTAGATTACTTCGATACACGTTTTCATACTCATTAAGTTGTCCCACCTGGAATTCATCACTGACGTACATTTCTTCGTGATCTTCTAGAAGAATTCGTTCATGCATATCTAGGTCCCAATTATCCTATGATATGAAAAAGAGCCATGAAAATATTGAAAAATAGTACGTCATCGGTCATGAAATATATGATGAGTAAATATGGACTGTTATTGCGACAGGTGTGATAGCGGTAAAAAAATGAAAAATGATTTTGTATGGAAAAATGGGAGACTGAAAATTAAAGTTTTTTAAAATTGTTGAACGCTAGTTCTGATACTTGGTTAAGAATAGAGGATCAACGATGGATCCTTAAAATAAAACTTATTTTAACAACTCCTATAAATGATTCTACGAAATTAATTTAAATCCAATTTTATAGGCTCATTTTTTT